CTTGAGCCATTATCTGCTGCCTCCCTAAATGTGAGTAACAACTGGTATGGGGCTGGCTGAAGGCAGGATGCCTCCCAAGGTGTGCATCAACAGGAAACTGATTTAGAAGTTGAGGAGCTGAAACTCAAACCAGGTACTCTGATGCGGGATACGGACTTCTCCAGTAGCATCTTAACCGCTATACCAAATGCTAGCTCCAGATGTTGAATGAGTTCCTTTTTCTTCCTAGTTTGCTGTTCCTTGGTTTTGTTTTGTTTTGTTTTGTTTTGTTTTTAAATCATAACTGGATGTTGAATTTTGTTAGGAACTTTATCAGCATCTATTTTTTTTTTTTTTTATTTGACAGGCAGAGTTAGACAGTGAGAGAGAGAGAGAAAGGTCTTCTTCCATTGGTTCACCCCCCCAAATGGCTGCCACGGCTGGTGCACTGCGCCAGTCTGAAGCCAGGAGCCAGGTGCTTCCTCCTCGTCTCCCATGCGGGTACAGGGCCCAAGCACTTGGGCCATCCTCCACTGCCTTCCCTGGCCACAGCAGAGAGCTGGACTGGAAGTGGAGCAGCCGGGACTAGAACCCAGCGCCCATATGGGATGCTGGCGCCGCAGGCGGAGGATTAACCAAGTGAGCCACGGTGCCGGCCCCTATCAGCATCTATTGAGATAATTATGTTTTATTTCTTGATGTGGTCAATTATATTGCTTTTTTACCATTGAACGAGCCTTGCTTTTCTAGGATCAACCTCATTTGTTGAGGACATGTTTCATTTTTATATATTGTTTAAATTGATTCTCAGATATATTTATTAAGGACTTTTGTATCTTTGTGAGGGATGTTAATCTGTGGTCTTTTCTATATTTGTTAGGATTAGGATAACACTAGTCTTATTTAATTAATTTCTAATCTAATTGACTTGATTTCTATTTTCTTTAAGAGAATGTATCAAACCGATACATGTTGATCCTTTAAATGTTGGAAGAACTTGCTGATAAAGTATCTAAGGCCTTAGATATTTGTTTCATGGGAAGTTTTAAACTGTGGATTAATTTTCATTAGTAGTCAGTAGGTTTGCTTAGGTCATCTACTTCAAAAATAAAGAATTTGGAGAGTTTATGGTTTTTGAGGAATTTCTCCATTTTATATAAGTTGTCAAATTTGTGTACATGGAGCCGTTGACAGTATTACTACCTTATTTACTCTTACCATCTTAAATGTCAATAATAATATTCCTCTTTCATTCCTGATATATGTCTTGAATGTACCTTCCATCTTTTATTTTTTGACACTGAAACTACTGAAAACTTTATTTTTACACTGAAAGTTGTTGAAACATTCTATATCTTTTTGGATCCAATTGCATGGTATAATTCTAGCAATTCTCAGAAAAATAAACCATCTTTTTTTGCCCTTTGGCAGTTTTTCACAGAAATATTTATTAGTTTCATTGATTTCTCTATTGTTTTTTTTTTTTTTTTTTTGACAGGCAGAGTGGACAGTGAGAGAGAGGGAGAGAGAAAGGTCTTCCTTTGCCATTGGTTCACCCTCCAATGGCCGCCGCAGCCTGTGCACTGCGGCCGGCGCACCGCGCTGATCTGATGGCAGGAGCCAGGTGCTTATCCTGGTCTCCCATGGGGTGCAGGGCCCAAGCACGTGGGTCATCCTCCACTGCACTCCCTGGCCACAGCAGAGGGCTGGCCTGGAAGAGGGGCAACCGGGACAGAATCCGGCGCCCCAACCGGGACTAGAACCCAGTGTGCCGGCGCTGCAAGGTGGAGGATTAGCCTAGTGAGCCGCGGCACTGGCTGATTTCTCTATTTTTTAAATTAATTTCCACTGAGTTGTTTTCTTTCTGTTTTTTTCTAGCTTTACGTTGCTCCAGTTACTGATTTGACTTTTGTTTTAATGGAAGCCATCTGTACCACAATTTTGCCTCTAAGCACTGTTGCATCCCACAAATTCTCAAACATGATGTCTTCATTTTCTTGCAGTTCAAAATATTTTCTTACTCACTTTGACATTTACCCATGGATAATTTAGAGGTTTGCTGTTTACTTTTCAAATGTTTAGAGATTATCCTTCTGTTACTGATTTTTAGTTAAATTGTCTTATATTTGGAGAGCCCATGTTGTTTATTTTCTTTTTTTTTTTTTTAAGTTTATTTGAAAAGCAGAGACAGAGAGAAAGGGAGACAGACAGACATACAGAGTTCTCCCGTCTACTAGTTCACGCTCAGTTCTCCCATATTGGGGCCAGGAACCCAACCACTTGAACTATCACCGGCTGCCTTTCAGGCTGTACAAGAGTAGAAACCTGAAATTGAGAGTGGAGCCAGAGCAAAAACTTACTTGCTCCGATATGGATGTGGGCATATATTTTTATTGGACAGGAAGAGATAGAGACAGAGATCATCCATCCACTGTTTTATTGCCCAAGTGCCTACAACTGCTGGTACTGGGTGAGGACAGAACCAGAGATCTAGGAGTCAGGAGCTCAGTGCAGGTCTCCCATGTGGGTGCCATGGACCCAAGTATTTGAGCCAACACCTGCTACCTCTCAGAGTGGGCATTCGCAGCAACTTGGAATTAGAAGCCAAGCTGGGACTTGAACCCAGGCACTCACCTATGGGATGCAGCATCTTAATTGCTGTGCCAAATGCCAGCCTCAGCCTGCCCTATTTTCTGTTCTTTTAAATAGAGTTTCTTAAATCTGTAGGTTCATGTCTTCAGCAAATTTGGGATATATTTAGTTTTATTTATTCAAGTATCTTTTCTGCCCCACATCCTTCCTTCTGTGACTTTAATGACAAGAAAGTAAAATCAGATCCTTGAACAGACTATGTTAATTTCTTAGCTTTTCATCAATCTTTTTTCTGTTTATCATTCAGATTGATTGGTTTCTGTTGATCTGTGGCCAAGTTAAATCTATTATCTCAGATATTCATATTTAGAGCGATCTCATGTGTTTAAAAATTGTGATTACTGGATCTTTCCAGTTCTAAAATTTCCATTTCATTCTGCTTTAAATGTGCTTTTCCTAGATAAGACTCCTCCACCCCCTCAAGTGTTTGCCCTTACTGTTGGGAGATTTTTTGGTGCTCTCAAAATCTTTTCCTATTAATTGTAACTTCTGTGTCATTTTGCCATTGGTGTCTGCTGTGCGTGAGTTGAGGTTTCTCCCTAGGTGTTGAGTAAGTTTGAATCATGTCTTAAAAACACTTGAACAGGCCGGCGCCGCGGCTCACTAGGCTAATCCTCCGCCTAGCGGCGCCGGCACACCGGGTTCTAGTCCCGGTTGGGGCGCCGGATTCTGTCCCGGTTGCCCCTCTTCCAGGCCAGCCCTCTGCTGTGGCCAGGGAGTGCAGTGGAGGATGGCCCAGGTGCTTGGGCCCTGCACCCCATGGGAGACCAGGAAAAGCACCTGGCTCCTGGCTCCTGCCATTGGATCAGCGTGGTGTGCCGGCCGCAGCGCGCCGGCCGCGGCGGCCATTGGAGGGTGAACCAACGGCAAAGGAAGACCTTTCTCTCTGTCTCTCTCTCTCTCACTGTCCACTCTGCCTGTCAAAAAAATAAAAATAAAAATAAAAAAAAAAAAACACTTGAACAGTGTTATGAGATTCTATCTCTTGTTTAAAACCTGTGGAGAATACTGAGTTTCAGACCGCAAGGTTTAACCAGCTGCCTTTGGATTGTGGTTTCAGTGGCACTTCTGCTTCCAAAGCCTGTGCTGTGCCGTGCTGTTCAGATCGATTTCGAGTGTGTTCCTGCCAGAGGCTGGTTTCCATCCTGGTCATTGGTCATCATTTATTTTTCAGTCTTTTCAGTGCTATTTAGCAGCAAGTAAGTGCTGCTCAGGTGTGGCCCCTGGAATCACCATACAGGTTCATGGAATCACTTTCCTGAGTCCTGGTGGTTGACTGTCTTCCTGATATTTTCTGTTGTGTTGGGCCCCTTTTTTCTTTTCTTCCACCTCTAAGACTGATTTTTCATTTTTCCTGTTCTGTTATATACTTCCTAAAACTAATGCAAAGCAGTGTATGTGTTGTCCGTGATTCTGTGGAGTTCCTGCTGTCCAGTGCCGGGTGTACCAGTCTTTTGTGTTTATTTGAGAGGCAGAGAGGAAAAGAGAGAGAGAAAGTGAGAGAGTTTTCGTCTGTGTTGTTCCCCAAATGTCCACAATGGCCTAAGCTGGGGCCAAAGCTCAGACTTGGTAATTCAGTCCCTGTCTCTCATGGGGGTGGCAGGAACTAATCAGCTGAGACATTACTGTTGCCTGCCCCAGAAGTTTGGTTATCAAACTCAGGTACTCAAATATGGGATGCAGGCATTTTAACTAATAGCATAACTGCTAGGCTGAGCGCATGCCCCAAATGTACCAGTCTTAAATGTAGACCCTGAAATGTCCATGATGTGGTTTATGTGCTCACCAGTCAGTGCAGACAGAACATTTCCAGCTTCCTGGTAAGTTCCCTCATGTTCCCCCTCTCCCTGCATCAGCCGCTCTTCTGATTTCTAGCACCATGTCTGTTCTCAGACTTGACATAAACAGAGTCCTGAAAAGGGTGTTCTCACGTATCTAGTATTTTAGTCAAGGGGTTTTGTGGCCCAGCCTGGTGTATTATTTAATAAGACTTTTCTGACTCTGTTACACTAAAACCACACCTAAACCAAAGCAGATTCAATTTTTTACTTTATATTTTTCTTAGCTGTGAAAGTCTTAAAATTCTTTGAAATTTTCCATATCCCTTTTCCCAGTCTAAAACATTCAGTGAGTGTCTCCCTCATTCACTTATACTGTGTCTGTTATTCTCACAGGTTCATCTTCTCCCAACTTCCTTTTCCTTCTTCCACATTTCCTTCTGCCAGCACAGAGATGAAAAGGAGAGTAATAACTTCTTATATCCTATTTGTTCTTTGCCATGCTAGCATTTGGTTTGAGAAAATTCAGGTTGAACTGAGTGTCTGTAGTTAGGGTACTAATGGGGTGTTTTTCTCCCTTCTTTCTGACAGCATGATGGAAGTGGTTCATTACATGACATTCAGCTATCATTGCCGTCCAGTCCAGAACCAGAAGATGGTGATCAAATATATAAGGTAATCAGGCTAAATATTTCAAAGGTTTTGAATATTAAAAAATATTAAAATATTAAAAAATAAAGCTGTAACAATGAAAGTGTTTAATAATAAGGATATTGAAAACTTAGAGATTTACTTTCTGGAGTATTTCAAGTGTATATATAAAAATTTAAGGATTTGCCTTTTTTTAAGATTTATTTATTTATTTAAAAGGCAGAGTTAGAGAAGGGGAGAGTAAGACTTCCATCCCCTGGTTCACTCCCCAAATGGCCTCTTCAGCCAGGACTGGACCAGGAGTTTCATCCAGGTCTCCCATGTGAGTGGCAAGGGCCCAAATACTTGCACTGTCTTTCACTGCCTCCCCAGGTGTATTAGGGAGCTGGGTCAGAAGTAGAGCAGCCAGAACTTGAATCTGTGCCCATAGGGGATGCCAATGCTGCAGGCACTGCTGTTAACCTGCTGTACTACAGCACCAGCCTTGAAATTTGCTTTCTTGAATATTAATCAGATTTGCCCTTAACTTTTGCTACTTTGTTAAGTTAAAATCCCTGTGTTGTTTAATTTGAATTTATCAGTTGGATAATTAGTATTGATTCAGAATCCTTTTCCAAAAATCATCACTTTTTATGATTTTTACATACAACTTCCAAGAAAAATCAAAGTGGCAATTAAGTTTCACAACATATCTCATTTATCACAACATTGAAAGATACTAAAAGATACTGAAAGTGAGATTAACTTTTTTGGTCTCACGTTTTCCCCGTGTTTCTTATGTAGATTTCTCCTGCCTTTGAATATTAAGTTTATAACTTTATTTCATTCCTCTGTAATTTTTACTGTCATGATTTCACATATGACATATATACCTGATAACACGTAAATTTTCTCTTTCTTACTTGGCGATCCATCTGCCTACTAGACATATTCCTACACTATCCACAGCTACCTCCACCAATATATTTAAAACTCGCACATATTCCTCTTTGAACATCTGTGTCCTCCTGTACTCGCCATTTCTTTTGGTGGCACAGTTTTTCACCGTGTCCCTAAAGTAGTAAATAGGAGTGTCTTGACTGCTCCTCTGTGCCTTTCTCTCTCATGCCGTGAATTGTCAAAATCTCCACACTTTGATTTCCCCACTTCCATCTCTGTTATCACTCTTTTTGGTTAGATTCCTTCTGTCATCTGGAATAATAGAGTATTTTGATGACACATTCCTAGCCCAGTTTTGTTGCTTTTGTTGTCAAATTTGTTTTCCAAATGCTGTCAGTGCTGTCTGAAATGTAAATCTACCACTCCCTGGCTAAGTCTGTGCCCCATTGTTATAGCCCTCTGTGCTTTGTGGCCCTTGCCTGGTTCATAAACCTACTTGTGCCTCACTCGTCACCAGCCTTTGTGTGACCACATCACTGCTTCTATTTCCCCAGATGTGCTCTGCTTGTCTTCCCCTCTGTATTTTTGTAGAGCATTCAGAATCCCTTCCTGCTGCGTCCTCAGAACCTTCTGCTCATTCCTTTAAGACCCCACTGGAGTCACGCATTTCCTGACATGTCCTCCCCTGCCCAATTTTATGTGTAGTCTTACAGCAGTGCCTGCATGTAGTAAGTGCTGCGTAAATTTTGTCTATTAATATTCTTACCACATTGTATTTTGATCTCATATTTTGAGTCCATTTCTGTAACGTGGGTAGAATCCACAACTATAGGAATGTTGGCTGTGTAGTGTTCCATCAGTTTGCTATATTGGGTTTCACTTGTTCCCTTATGGGACAGTTGTAAACTTGTAAACTTTCAGGTAGTATCTTGTTGATCTTTTCACACTTAGAATCATTTCTTCAGCATAGATTCCTAGAAGTGGAATAACTGAATCAGAATTGCAGATATTTTTGTGATTTTATACATATAGGCATATGTTTGTCTAGAAAGGTTGGTTGCTTTGTCTATTGAGTTGCTACATTTTTTCTCTAATCTTCTTAATCACAATGATAACCCCTCTTCAATTTAATATCTGTAAAATAAGTGCTTCCAGTATTTTGTTTTTCTAAAACAAGTCAAATAGAGCATTTTTCGGATTACATGTGTGTTTGTGAGAACTGTTTGTTGGAATCTTGACAGTGACCTTAGGTGTTTGAGCTAGCTTCTGGTAGACTTGTGATATAAAACCTTTCTCATGTTTGCATAGGTTTTACAAGGCTTTAACTTTAATCAGAAAATTAATTGTATAGATGATGAAAATTTTATGTAACGAATACATTTATGATTTCTTATTTCGTTTGCTACAGAATTTAAACGTATTCTAGATAAATCCTTGAAAATGGGTCTTTTGTGATCTGTAATCCATCTTTTGTCTAATTTATGAATTTTTAGAATTCTTAAACTCTTTGAGGTCTTTTTCAGTGATATAAAAACTGTCTTTCCCAATTATACTGTCCATAACATTTTAAAATATTTTCTGACATGTTAACACCTTTGTAGGATGTCTGTTTCTGATCTTTTGTTTAGAGACTGCATTTTTTTAGGTTATTCCCTGTGTGTCTGGAGAAGATGACATAACTTTGCTTAGTAACTACACCATTACCATTATTTGCTTGCATGTTTCTCTGCCTGGAAAGATGTGGTGTATCATCTATATATATATATAAAATCTAATCCCTTGCTTAAACTACTTCCTGTTCTGGGTAAGTGAAGAGAAGTACTCAAAAATGGGCTGCCTTTAGGTAATGATACTTCACACTTGTAAAGGTGACCAGATTCCTGTTTAGCTTGACGAAGGTTTCCATTTCACAGTATTGGGCATTTCTTGTTGATGAACCTGACAATAGTTTTTTCTCTTTGACTCAGGCAGTGCTGTTCAGGAAAGTGGTTCATGGTCAACTCATCTCCTTTATTACTCTTTAGGCATATTTATCTCTTTGCTGATTGCTGAACAAGCCATGAAATTCCACTGTGTCTTTAATTATACTATATCCTCTGCCTATTATGGCCTTCATTTTCTCTGAGAGGCATCCTTTGAAATGTTAGCTAAAGTTACTGTTCTGTATGTGACAGATTGATTCTATGGCCAGGATCCCTGTTTCCTTCTGTGTAAAAGGAGATAATGGTATATACCTCAAGTAACACAGTTAAGATCAAATGCCTAAATACTTTCAAGTGCATAGTTTCTAACATCCAGTAATTACTGAGTGAATGTTAGCCCTTGCTTCTGTTGCTGTTCATTGCTTACATGTCAGACTCCATTAGGCCATTAAATCTTAGATGATTTTGTTTTATTCTTTCTTTAGATTTATTTATTTGAAAGGCAGAGTTACAGAGAAAGAGAGGGAGAGACAGAGATAGAGAACTTCATCAGATGGTTCAATCCCCAGATGGTTTCAATGGCTGAAACTGGGCCAGACTGAACTCAGAAGCCTGGAACTCTCTCCAGGTCTTCTGTATGGTGCAAGGGCCCAAGCACTTGGTCCTTCCTTTGCTGTTTTCCTGGGCACATCAGCAGGGAGCTGGATCGGAAGTGAAGCAGCTGGAACTTGAACCAGCACCCGTGTGGGATGCCGGCATTGCAGGGAGTGGCCTAATAGGCTACACCACAACACCAGCCTCCGATGACTTTCTTTTTAATAAAAGATTTTTCCCCTTAAATGAACAAATAGGTCATTCCCTAGTCTTTGTCATTGACGTAGTGCTCTTTAATAAGATATTTTAAATGCCTTATCTTAAATTTTTTTAATATTTCAGAATGAAGATTTATTAAACGAAATTAAACAACTTAAAGAAGAAATAAAGAAAAAAGATGAAAAAATCCAACTATTAGAACATCAGCTTGTAAGTATGATAGTGTAATATATAAAATGGAGACTTTTCAAACTGGGAAATACATCCTTTTTATAAGACTGTGATCTAGAATTCAAGTTTGACTTTATTTTTGGCTTTCATAGTTTAATTATTGCATTATTTGTAGATTATATGCATTCTAATAAAAGTATGTGCTGTAGCCTTCATTCTAAATATTAAGTGTTCAGTGTTAAAAATTATTTGTTGTTCCATTTTCTTTCTTTCTTTTTTTTTTGACAGGCAGAGTGGACAGTGAGAGAGAAAGAGACAGAGAGAAAGGTCTTCCTTTTGCCGTTGGTTCACCCTCCAATGGCTGCCGTGGCTGGTGCGCTGCGGCCGATGCACCGCGCTGATCCGATGGCAGGAGCCAGGTACTTATCCTGGTCTCCCATGGGGTGCAGGGCCCAAGCACTTGGGCCATCCTCCACTGCACTCCTTGGCTACAGCAGAGAGCTGGCCTGGAAGAGGGGCAACCAGGACAGAATCTGGCGCCCCGACCGGGACTAGAACCCAGTGTGCCAGCGCCGCAAGGCGGAGGATTAGCCTAGTGAGCCGCGGCGCCGGCCTGTTGTTCCATTTTCACTGGCATCTGTTATGGGGATTTAACAATTTACCAATTGTATTAATTTACTGATACAGGGTAAACAACTTTGCTTTAGAGATAAGGTTAAAGAAACAAATCCTGGGCAGTTGAGAACAGGATATTTCCTTTCTCTGTGAGCAAAATGAGAGTGAGTATTCAGGCCTAGGCATCGGGATAGCTGTCAAATATTTATTCCCTGTGGGTGATGTTGAGTGATCCCTTAGAGTTTGTCTGAATCTTTTTAATTTTATAATTGTTATGATTTTCAGTGTTAATCCCATGTAAAAACAGTATATATACTGTCTTGAATTTAATTTAGTTTAGCTTGCAATAATATAAAAAGCTAGGATAAAAAGAACATAATTCAGAAAAATCATAACCATCAAGAAGATCTTTATTAGTCGTCAAAAAATATCTTGGAAAAATGAAACAATTCAGCCATAAGAGGTTAATCTCATTTAGAATATAAAGTATATATGATACTTACCTCTGAGCTGCTGAGGCCATGTAGTTATTTTAGCTATTATGATTAAGGATACAAAGAAAATGTCTGATTCCAAGTGAAGAACAATCTAATATTTCAAATTGAAGTCCTACCGATACAGAATTAAAAAGGGGAATAATAAGACCTAATGTTTATGTCTCAGTGGTAAAGACAAGGGAGCAGGTGTTTAGCCTAGCAGTTAAGACTCCTGCATCTTACACTGGAACACCATGATTCAGTTCTGGACTTAGCTTCCTATCAGTATACACCCTGGGAGGCAGCAGAGATGGCTCAATTAGGTTCCTGCCTCCTGTGTGGAAGACCCTCATTGTGTTCCCAGCTCCCAGATGTGGGTCCAGTCCATCCCCAGCCATTGCATACATTTGGAGAGTGAACCAGTAGATGGAAGCTTCCTCTATGTGGCCGTCTGTCTTTCTGCATCTCAAAAATAAAACAAAAAACTATAAACTGAGAAGTAATCCAGTTTTTAGGGAGAAAGAAAAATATATAAATGAGGAAATTAAGTTAGCTTCAACTTTTGCAAAAAATATATTACAGAGCGCAAGAAATTGTTATGTCTAGTACACTTCAAAAAAGGTCATAATCCTCATATTTAATTTCTAGACGGTTTTATTTATATACAAAAGTACATTTTCAGACCTTTAACATCTTAAAAAGTATGCCACATAGTTATGTGTCTAAAAATTACTTAATGCATCGCAAATACTTGAGGGAGAAATTGGAAAATAACACAAGAACAGGTAGTGAAGATTAAAATGAGTAAGTGGAGTAATGAAATCATCTTTAGAGAAACTAAGTGGGCTAAACTTCTGAACCATTGATTGGAGAAAATTTACTGCTCATTATTTTATCTGATGCAATTATATATCATTTGAGTGTTGGAATTTATAAATCTTTTAAGTTCTAAAATTAAAATAATTTTTACTTAAAAATTTGAGTTTCTATTTTTGAGAATATATTTAGATTAAATTGTAAAAGTTTAAGGTAGCAGAAAAGGAGTAAACTGAAGGAAGTCAGAAGTACTGAATATGTTATCATCTACAAATGAACCCTTAGACATTCTTTTTAAAATTATAGTTAAATAAATTGTAATAAACCTTGTGACATACTTTTTTCTTTTAAAGATTTATTAATTTGAACGGCAGAGTTACAGAGAAGGGAGCAGGGGGAGAGAGAGAGAGAGAGAGAGAGAGATCTTCCATCCACTTGTTCACTCCCTAAATGGCTGCAAAAGCCAGTGCTGCTCTATGCTGAAGCCAGTTGTCAGGAACTTCATCTAGGTCTCCCATGTGGGTGCATGAGCCCAAGCACTTGGACCATCTTTCCCAGGCATATTAGCAGGGAGCTGGCTAGGAAGTAGAGCAGTCAGGACAAGAACTGGTATCCACATGGGATGCCAGCATTGCAGACGGAAGCTTCACCCCCTACACCACAACACTGGACCCTGTGGCGTGCTTTAAAGTAACTACTAGTAGGTTGAAAGACTGTATCTTGGAGGATACATGAAAAATTTAAGAAAACAGAAAAGTGAGCTAATTTAAATAAACTGAAGGGGAATTGTGGCCTCATATGCACAGCAAACTTTGTGAAACTTGGCAGTTCCTGTTCTTGATTCTAGAGCTTAATGTTGGTACAGTTTGTCTCCGTAGATTTAGAGAGCTGGAGAGGATTTAATGCTAGTCATTAACAGCAGTGACGCACTGAAGCAGGCATCTTATTAAATGAGTTTTAAGGAGAAACATGTCTTTTTTGCAGTAGGGCATTGGAAATCATTCAGGAAGATTATAAAGGTATAATGTTTACCTCTGAAACTCTAGAAAATCACTTGTTCAAATCAGAAGAATTTAAAAGGTATAAAAGATTGAAAGTAGAGATTTGTAATAGCATTTTTCACATGATCAAAGTTAAAATTGCCCTTCTATTTAAAATTTCTTTCTTCACATCTTTAGGTTACTTTTTGTAAATGGGGGAAAAGGCACTAGAAAAGCCATTAATAGGAGTCAGATGACATTTCTTGTCTCTAATATTAATTTGTTTAATGACTTTGGCAAATTCTGTTACCTCTTTAGTGCTTTATCCAGACTGCAAAGGTTTTCTTGATGATTTCAAAGTTGTCTCCTTCCAGTTCTGTACTTCTATGCTTTCTTGTCATTTTATAAGGTATACATTCTTTTTTAAAACTTTTATTTAATAAATAGAAATTTCAAAAGTACAACTTTTGGATTATAGCAGCTTTTCCCCCCATAACCTCCCTCCCACCCGCAACCATCCCATCTCCCACTCCCTCTCCCTCTCCCATCCCATTCTTCATCAAGATCAACTTGGTATATATTAATTAAACATTTCAACAGTTTGCACCCACACAGATACACAAAGTATAAAGTCCTGTTTGAACAGTAATTTTACCGTTAATTCGTTTAGTACAACACATTAAGGACAGATATCCTACATGGGGAGCAAGTGTACAGTGACTCCTGTTGTTGATTTAACAATCGACACTCTTATTTATAATGTCAGTAATCACCCAATGTTCTTGTCATGAGCTGCCAAGGCTATGGAAGCCTCTTGAGTTCACAAACTCCGACCTTATTTAAACAAGGCCATGATCAAAGTGGAAGTTCTTTCCTCCCTTCGGAGAAAGTTACCTCCTTCTTTGATGGCCCATTGAGTAGTCTCGGTGGGAAAGGTATATATTCAACTGTAACCTATGTTTGCATGCAAACTTTTGGAAAAATAAAATGACAGTATAAAGTGTTGAATTCATGTTTATGTGATGCAAGCTGATATAAAATTAGATTACGATGCTCTGAGAATTTAACTGAAAGGTAGAGAGGTTTGACTATTCAAATCTTATTCCAAAATGCTAAGAATCCTTGTTATTTTCTCCTCAAAACACTAACTAAATAATAATGTAGATGTATTTGTACATTGAAACCAGCATAATTTTGTGAAATTACTAGTGTAGAATTTTAATTATGGAGTCATAGAAAGTGAAACTCAGGTTAAATAGGCTAGAATTATCTTTGAAAACCCATGTTAGACTTGGGTTCAAATCTTGCTTTTGAAACATAGCTGTGTTCTCTTAAGGAAGGTATATGATCTCTCTCTCTTGAGCCTTTTCTGTAAATGGGAATAATAAAAATACTGATGCTAGAGGGTTGTGGGAGTTAAATGAACCATGGCCTAATGTCTGGCCCAGGGGTGTGGGATAATTAGTAACTCTTATTTAATGGCTTGCTCCAAATGACCCAGCATAAATCAATGCATGTCTTAGAATATTTTAAATCCCTAACTAAAAGTGACTTAAGATATAAAAACATTTGTAAACTAAAATAACAAGAAACTGTATAGGACCCATCCATTTCCATGGTTATTTATTGGTCATTTGGTTAATGGTTGAAGTTCTAGGTTGGCTTTTCTAGAATCCTTGTGGCTTTCTCTTTCTTTGTAGAAAGTCTTTTTAGCTGTAAGTGTCACATTCTCACAGGGTAATACCGAAAGGTGGGTGCAGAACCCATTTTCCCTAGTAGATCTGTTTAATACTTGTGTTTAAAATGGACATGCTATTTCTCAGAAATACCTCAGACTTTCCTCCTGTTTTATTAGCTACATTTGAGTTCCTTATCCCTTCCTAAGCATACATTGGTTCAGATTAATCAAGATCTATTTCCTTGGAACAAGAGGGAAGACATACTTCCTCAAAGAGTACCATGTGAATACAATCTGTCAGCTATTACAGAAAGCAGGTGGAGAGGGAGTGATTTGGGCAGTTGGTTTACATCTATTGAAGTGTTACTAAAAACTAGGCTTTTCCAATTATGGAAGATTGAAACGTCTAGTATAACTCAAATATTACTCTCCATGTGTTAGCAAAAAGGATATTATCTCTGGAATTGCGATAATCAGGATGCAGTAAGTAGTGAACTTGCATTCTGATTCGTGTTTTATATTACTTTTTCTCCTCTGTACATACCTCCCCTATATGTTAAAAATTAAATCCTATTACAGTGAATTCCCAGAGACTTAGTTGACTTGCATTTGTAGTAGTGAGTTTGTTTCAGCAATTATCCCATTGCTTAATGATGGAAACTATGTAATGTAGAGATTGTTGTTTATAGTTGTATTTTATTTTCCATAGGAGATTGCAATAATCTGAGTACAATTGCAAAAATTTTTAATATTGGTAAATATTTTAAAAATAGGAATGTGTAATTTCAACTTGATGTAGTAATCAAGGATTTCTTAGGTTTTTCTATGAGAAAGTATATTTACCTTCAGTGGGGTTGCCTAACAAATAATTTGGTTACATTTCAGCTTTACATAAGAGTGAATTATCATTTTCCATCTTTTCATTGTATTTGATGATGATTTGAAAGCACCAAAGTTTACACAGTATGTACACTGTGTGTTGTATAATTGAGTATACTTTGAGAAGCATCACATGTAGAGAATTCATTTGAGAATTGAGAGGGACAGATGGTCTTGTGGTCTTGTCAAAGGTTAGAGACACTTCAAAAAATTACAGTCCAGTAAAGAGAACACATCATTAAAGAGGCTTGGTAACATTGCACATATGAATAGGTAGCCTGACTTACGAATTGGTGGTATTTAATAGCAAGTAGATTCTCATCACAAATGCATTCAAGAAGAGTACAATAATGACTATATAGCACCATAATCATTTAGAAAACTATAAAATTTGCAATTGTATTCTTTATATACTGTGTATCACTATATATATCTATATACATAATACTGTATATATTTTTAGCACATAAGTACCCACTGTGTGAATTATGTGTAGTATGTTTTTGAACACTTTAAGAGATTGCCAAGGGTAGTTGGACTGTTTGAAATTCTGATCTCACTGGCTGACTCAAACCTGGTCCCTGAATAAGATGAGAGACTACTGAGTAAAGATTGATATTTGCTATAAAAGTTTAGAATCATTTTGTAATGTGTAACTTTTTTCTTGGTTTGGTTTTTTGCCCCCTAAGAGAGCCCCTAATGACTTTGTGTGTGTATGCAGAATGAAACCAATGTAAAAATGTGTGTTTTTATTCAGGCAACTCGGTGTAACTGCCACCAAAAATCTAAAGAGGAAAAATGCACTTACGCTGATAAATACACCCAGACTCCCTGGAGAAGAATTCCTGTGAGTAACAAATGCTCTCACCCTCCTCTCCTGTCATTTGCTATTCGATGTTTTGTTCGCTCTTCTTACTCTTAATCACTAATAATTTTGAATCTGCTTATGGCTTTTAGTTTTTTTCTTAGGCAAGTTGTTGTTTTTCTAGTCTCTTAGATGTGAATGTGCTGCTTTCTAAAGCTTTACTTGTATGTCCCGCACAAGCGAATGTGCCTTTAATAACTTCCATTCTACATACTGTAGCTCATTTTATTTGAATGTCTTCTCTCCTGTCATTGCATGTATCTATGAGAGTAATATTTGCAGAAGCCCTACAATAAACAGAAGTCCTATATACAGCTGTTCCACCTCAACAACATACAACATTTTGAAAATATATTATGTCAGCAAAGTCCTTTTTTCGCTGAAACTCTCAAAGTATGCTTTAATATTTAGTCAAATGAATGTTGACGGTATCAGGAAATAATGAATAGGAAGATATAGGCAGTAAAGATTATGGTTTAGAAATAGTTGGGGAATGATTTCTCCTAAAACATAGAGTCTTGTATTCCATACTTTCTTGGTGTTTTTCAAAAATGTTCTATAAAAATGGTTTAGGACTAACAAATAACCTGACCATCATTTAATGAGTTCTTCAGAACTTAGTTCGAGATGTGCTTAAGCCACAGAATCATTGTCTAGTCAGTCATCTCATTTTATTATGTGGAGCCAGGTAATAGACATCTGTTTCTTGTTAAGAAAATGCCTACTAAGCCAGCCTTTTTCCCCACTTGTATTTAGCAATGCATCCTAGATCATACATGAAAAGGGAAATATAATGTTTAATGCAATCAGCAAACCAGTTTATAAAACTAAGCTACTAGCCTTCAAAATTTATGAGTTATTTTGTTTCTTTTTATCTATTAAGTATTTATTTGTATGCTCGGTACAAGGTAGGAATGTAAGAAATTATTCAAGAGAAGTTCAGCGATCCTGTCTCATCCCCAATTTTTAGGCTCTTGAAGTAGAACTGGGGAGGGAACTATGCAGACAAACCAGAGTTCCATTCACAAGTACATTGAAGATGAACTGGTAATGCATTGATTCGAAGTGCTGCAACTTGCAGAAGCTTCAAAGGGTGGGGAAGTCTAGTTGAAACGAGGAGCTGGGGCCATGCTGCGGCTCACTAGGCTATTCCTCCACCTGCGGCGCTGGCACCCTGGGGTTCTAGTCCTGGTTGGGGCGCTGGATTCTGTCCCGGTTGCTTTTCTTCCAGTCCAGCTCTCTGCTGTGGCCCGGGAAGGCAGCGGAGGATGGCCCAAGTGCTTGGGCCCTGCACCCGCACGGGAGACCAGGAGGAAGCACCTGGCTCCTGACTTCGGATTGGTGCTGCACGCCGGCCTTATTGGCCATTTCGGGGGGTGAACCAACGGAAGAAAGACCTTTCTCTCTGTCTCTCTCTCTCACTGTCTAACTCTGCCTGTCCAAAAAAAAGAAAGAAAGAAAAAAAAAAGAAAGAAAGAAACAAGGAACTGGATGAGAAGGTGAAGCCTGTGTTTGAATAAGTAGAAAGCAAAATATGCCCACAGAGATGATGTAATACCAGATGTGGAAACAGAAATGGAGATAGTTGCGAAGTAAAAGATTGTGACTCTTGTTTCTGTATCAGGAGTGGGCAACGTTTTTCTGCCAAGGCCTATTTGGATATTGATAGCATCATTTGTGGGCCATAGAATATGATCAACTTAAACTCAGCCTGCTACAGATTTGTGAATTTTGAGTCCTGCCTACAGCTGCCTTGGAAAGGCCAGACCAAGTGATTCTGCTTTCTTTATGTGGCCCATGGGTCAGATGTTCCTACTCCTGTTCCAGATGGAGATTTGGGCTTTCCGTGTTTCTCTTTTTTCCCCACACAATAGTTTGCACCTTCTGACTGTGTTGCTAAGTACGTGGCTGAGAAATTCCATTTTGCCATTCCCTGTGGAAGTCTTTGTAACACTCTGTGATTCCTTTAGCCTCACTGTTCTGGAAACTGGGTATTAGTTTACCTCTTCCCTAGCCAAAAGTGACTGGTTTAAAACAATCCTAATACCTATGAAATATAATTATCGTGGGTGAAATATTTGATCATATAAAGATAATTTCTCCAACCCACCACCCATAAAAGAAGAAGGAAGAAGCAGAGTGAAAACAGAGGAAGAGCACACAGCAGGCTCATGAACTACCATTCTGCTAACATCTGATAGGTCCAGGAGGACAAAATCTGTAGAAAGGAATGTGTGGGGCCAGCACTGTGGCGCAGTGGGTTAACACCCTTGCCTGAATCGCCAGCATCCCATATGGGTGCTGGTTTGAGATCTGACTGCTCCACTTCTGATCCAGCACCCTGCTAATGGCGAAAAGCAGTGCGAAAGACGCCCGTGGAACCAGATGTGGCCATTCACCGAATTAGGGTCACCCTGACCAGCCACAATGAAAAGTCCCTGGAGAAGGCATGTGCTGACTTGATCAGAGGAGCAAAGGAGAAGAATCTGAAAGTTAAAGGACCGGTTTGGATGCCTACCAAGACACTGTGAATCACTACAAGAAAAACCCCCTTGTGGTGAAGGTTCTAAGACGTGGGACTGGTTCCAATATGCTTCTGTCTTTCCAGAGAATGCGGGACAGCCCATTTGGGTACCAGCCAGAAACATCAAGCCTGCAACTGACAGCCAACCTGAACCAGCTGAACAAGCCTGAGAGTCTGCCTTGTTAGCGGACGCACCTGCCCTATCATCCTACCCTGAGGAAATGCCCATAGCCACATCCATTACTGTTTTATACCCACTAGCTCTGGTCAGCCACTCAGATGGCCCACAGCCTGTGTGCAGTCATGCCATTCCTGAGTATCATTGTTCTTCATTCCTACCTCCATCTGAGCAAGCACTCCTGTGGTCTCCCATTTTGAGTGCTGGTTAGTCAATGACGGGTAAGATCCCCTGGGGGACAACCTAAGACAGGCACAGCCACGTACGGAGACCACATGGAAACTGGGTCAACAATGGTATGGCCAAGAATCATGCCTCCCGTTGCTCAAAAATAAACGAAAAGGGGGAAATGTGGTGGAATGAGAAGGCCATGCCAAGATGGCCACTGGCAACAGAAACTGCCTGGCAACAGGCTGTGATTAGATGGTTTCAGAAAGCACGTGACAATGGAGCCTGCCTGGCAACAGGCTGTGATTGGATGGTTTTGGAAACCACATGACAATGGAGCCTGCCTGTCAACAGGCTGTGATTGGATGGCTTTGGAAACTGCCTGGCAACAGGGTGTGATTGGTTAGGGCATAGACCGCCCCTTGACCGGGTTGGCTGCCTTGACTATATAAGCTGCTGTAGCAACTGAAATAAATGAGTTAGGCTGCTTGCCTCAGGCTTGCTTTCACCCGACTCCGGGGTCTGTGTGGTGACTCCGTGCCTCTTGCCCCCACCACGCTCCTCCTCCCGAAATGAATCCACAGCAATAATCGTGTTTGAAATATTTGATCATGGGTGAAATAAAGATAATTTCTCCAGCCCACCACCCATAAAATACTCAGACTTCAGCTTTCCATGTTATCTGTTACTATAGGAACCACCTCGCTAAATGCTTTGAGGCAATAAAATCCAGGGAAAGTAAATGGCATATTAAAATTTCTGTAATTAGTAGCTCAGCTGGCATTTTAAATTTAGGACTCCTGACAGCTAGTCCCAGATCCCCTTCTGCAAAAGCATACTGAAAAGCTTCCAGGATGAGAGGTTTGCAGATTGAAACGGGAAGACTTTCCATGTAAAGGAGCAGGACCAATAAAGAACAAGTAGGAAGATACAGTTGGGCAATAGTAATTACCTGATAGTGGCTGGAACACAGATGTATGTTTAGGGAGAGTGGAAGTTAGTGTTAAAGTTAGTTGTTGTTATTTTTTAAGATTTATTTATTTGTTTGAAAGGCAGAGTTACAGAAAGCCAGAGGCAGAAAGAGAGAGAGAGAGAGACAGAGAGAAAGTCTTCCATCCGCTGGTTCACTCCCCAGTTGGCCACAACAGCTGGAGCTGAGCCGATCTGAAGCCAAGAGCTGGGAGCCAGGAGCTTCTTCCGGGTCTTCCATGTGGGTGCAAGGGCCCAAAGACTTGAATCATCTTCCACAGCTTTCCCAGGCCATAGCAGAGAGCTGGATCAGAAGTGGAGTAGCCAGGACTTGAACTGGTGCCCATATGGGATCCTGGCACTGCAGGCAGTGGCTTTACCTGCTATGCCACAGTGTCAGCCCCTAAAGCTAGTTTTTTAAAAACATTTATCTTATTTATTTGAAAAGTAGGGTTACAGAGAAAGAGACATAAATTTTCCATGTATGGTTCATTCCCCAGATGGCTGTAATGACTGGCACTGAGCCAGGCCAAAGCCAGGAGCCAGGAGCTTCTTTTGGGTCTCCCACATGAGTGCAGATCCTCTGTTGCTTTCCCAGGTGCATTCACAGAGAGCTGGATCAGAAGTGGAACAGCTGGGACTCAAACCAGCGCCCATGTGGAATGTTAGTGTCATGGGTGGTGGCTTTACCAGTTGCCTTACAGTGCTGGCCCCTAAGGATAATTTTAAGGTAGAATTCAGATGTTTAATCCAGGATTTACTGGAAAAGTAGTTTTGCTGAGTTGTGTTAAATAAATCGTTATATATTTAATTGTTTAAATGCTAATTATTAAATATTGGGCATATTCTCTGATTTTTTTCTTCTGTTCCTTGGGCTTTTGGGAACAGTGGGAATAATTTGAATGACATCATTTTGGAAGTGACTTACTATATTTACAATGATTTTCTTTTCTCATTTAAAAAAATTTTTTTACCAATATTCTTTGTTAGCAGAAACCCAACATACCTTAAATACGCTTGTGATGAGGGGAATGTGGAGATGCAATGTCATTCTTTATTGGCAATATTTAGTAATTTATGGGATTAAAACATGTTAAAGTGAAAGTCCTCAAGCATAGTTTGTGTAAAATTTTGAATTTTGAA